GGATGAGATCATCGGCGGGCCTTGTGGGGCTTCCTGCTTCGTCCAGACTGGCCCCCTGCTCAAGCGCTGGGTTCAGCATCCCCATGCGTGCGCTGTCGAAGATTGTGTTTCGCAGTATGTTGTGTCTTGAGATGACTTCCGGGCCTCGCCGGCACGTGAAGGCGTGGTGCCCTGATGGGTCCAGCACTTTGTCGGGACACATAGAAAATTCTTTACCCGGCGCGAAAACTGAGAGACCCAACTTCAGCTTGCTAAGGTTTGCACTTATTCAGCTTCAAGACCCAGACGTAGCCCTGACTAAAGCACGCCGAGGTTTCCATAAGTCAAATTTTTTCAGATGCAAGAGAGACATGCTCAAACAAGAGTCTGAAAATGTTTTCTCCTGTCGCGGAAGAATGAGAATATTGTTGTTTGGCTCTACGGGCGATGTCTTGAGTCAGTTGGTCAGCGTCGGCAACGTGGCTGTTGTAATCAACTACACTGATGTCAGTGTCGGCATGTGCGTTGGCTGCTGCAACTTATGATATGTAGGCAGCGGCTGCTTGTGTTCTTAGTGAACGGAGCCCTAGTCCTCCGTTCCTCAGGTACAGACGAGCTTGCTCTTTGGATTGATCGTTGATTTCAATGGAGACCGATTCGTCTTCTTTCTTCGGCGTCCACCTTCATGAGGTTAGCCTGGATCCTTTACAGCATCTCTTGTGTCTAGCGAAGTTAGTTTTGGGTACTCTTTTGTTGCATCCACCACAAGTTTTGTATTCGGGTCGGTGTTTTGTTGTAAATTGTCCTCCTACACATACTGTAAGATGATTCATCAGAGTTGCTGACTGTTTGAATGCTCTATCGCAGTTGTGGCAATTGTAGTTGATACTTTCTGTGTGCATTCTTGACATGCCAGCCCTGTTTTAACATTTCTCGCCGTAGACTCGGCAAATGCACGCCTCATCTTTTTCGTACTGCGTTCGTTGTATTGGGCTCGTTACTCTTCTTCCTCCATTTTCTTGGTTCGTTTCCCAGTCTTCTATATGTTTTATTCTTTCTTTTACCATGCTCCTGAGTTCTGTCCTTTATTTGGTGCTCTAGACTTATTTGGTCCCATCCAGCTTCTTTCGTCATTTTGATCCAATATCTAGGCGTATTTCTTGTTCTTTTCAAGTTCCTCTCTACTTTTTCTGTCATCTTCGTCCATCCAAATACTACTTTCTTTGTCATTCTACTTTCAGGCATCCTTGCCACATGTCAAATTCTTTCTAGGCTTCTCTTTTCTATTTTTATTCTAACTGACTTGATATTCAGCTCATTTCTGACATTCCACGCATTTTTGTGTTTTTTTCCTGCATTTCCTTCAAGGGAGGTTTGTTTTTTGAACTTCATATGTACCGGTAGCATTTGTCCATGGTTTTGTGAAGCTTGTTTATTTCTCCCACTCTCCATGATCTCGCATGGCAGTTATACATTAAGGTACTCTCCACTGTGGCCTCCATTCTCCTGGCTTGCGTCTTCTTTGTCAATCGTGTGTTTCCTAGTCGTCGCGTTTTCACTTGGAACCATGCCCCCATGACCTTTGACGCTGTGAGTTCATGGCAGAAATCATCGCTTCCAATCGGAGCGCCCAGGACCTCCATGTTGGGGGCACGAGTTAATTAGTGCTCTTATAGAGGAGGGACGGTTGAAGTAAATACCTTTTATGACAATGCATTAAATGCTGTCTTGACTTAATTCCTGCAATATTGTTTACTGACGTATTTCTATAATGCTGGTATGGGCCATATCCAGCTTGTGCACGACCGTACTTAAACGGAAGGGCCCCTTTTATAATTAAGTTTTTTTCCTTGTTGGGGGTATTGTATTTTATGATATATTCGGGGAACATTGATTTGTCGAGTCTGCAGTACACTTCGCATTTGCTGACTTTCACCTCTAGACTCGTACAAGTACCAGAGGTTGGCTAGAAGGCACTCCTGAGAATCGATTCTGATGACGAGTTTGTGTAGGGCTACCGCGAACAGGAGGGGGCCCAGGGGGTCACCTTGCTTTACGCCTGCTGCTGACAGTAGAGTGCCCAATGTGTGGCACAGGACAGGATAAGAGTGATAGCAGGAATTCACCCACGGGAGCAGTTCAGGGAAGATATAGATTTAAAAATATTTTCGATGCAGATTTGAAATATTTTCTACTGGCAAACAAAGTGTTTCTTTTTTTCCGATACATGGAGTTTTCATTTTGTTTTACTCAGCGGATTGCTTGAATTGTCTGGCTTATATGTGTTAAGAAGTTTAAATCAATTTCATTTGCTAAAACGAAGTTAAATTACGCTCTCCAACAACAACAAAAAAGTTGTTTGTAGGTTTCCTAGCGGAATAAGATCTACATGTTGAGTGTTCTCAATCATAAAAGAATTAATGAGTGTCAACCATGAAAGACTTGAATTTAAACGAGGTTTAAGATCATACTTTTTTCTTGAACTTGTTTCAAAAACACCGAGGAGTGTAAAAGGGGAATGTAAAAACAGATAGGGTAATCGACAAAATTTGTTGTTATAACGTTTTATGTTAACTCAAATTGTGTGTTTTTTTATTCTCTGAGTTTATGTGATTTTTTTTATTGTTTACGAGGTTTGTTGTTTTTTCCTTCAGTTGTTTTGATGATGTCTTAATTGACAAAAACGTTCAAGCTTTGATACTTGTTTTTTTTTCTCGTGACAAGATTACAATCACCAAGCTATATTTAACGTTCTTCCGTGAAAAATTCAACGAGAATATCTCATGCACATGGCAAGTACTATGCTTTTGTGGAACCTGCAACAATTGTCCTAAAGCCTATACTGCTAGTACACCTCGTTTTTCGAGTTTCATTGAGACTTTTCGTTTTTTAACTATCAGTTTGATTTATTCTTGAATTTCATCTTTTCAATTGACTTATTAGCCCCTCGTTAAATTGATAAATAGGAAGCTGTAAATCGAAGTTCCAGTCAGATATAGCATGCCCAAAGTTAAGTCAATTTTTCTGATTGACTGAAAGAACATTGTAGAGTGCCTTTGTCTGTGATTTGAGACGTCGCCATTAGCCTGCTTTTTCTTGGGCTGTAAATTGAACTGCTGAGCTGAAGCGACTGTTGCCATATTTGCTAACTCCATAATGCTTTCATTCGTTGCTTTATTCCTCCGATGAAGTAACCACACGTGTGTATTCAGAGAAATTGTAGCTAGTAACAGCGAAAATCCCGAGCAGAAAATACTTGCAAGGTAGTAGTTGCAAAGATTTGGAAACGTTTTTGAAGTCTCTGGTATGAAGTCGATAACAATGACAAGATTAACACAAAGAGCCAATGTCACAGTTGCTCCGAATGCAATCCTATCGCCTGACTCTCCGGGAAGGAAGAATGTCAAGCTGCTCAATGCTAGCAGAAGCGCGTTTGGAAGAATCAGATTCCTCACATAGAACGAGCTCAATCTGTCAAACTTCACGGCGATTTGTATGACACTGTATAACTTCGGGTTTTTCGTGTGACCAGTTACTGTGTCTTCATGGCACGATGTCCCTGAATTGTAGAAAAACGCTAGCGCATATTAAAATAATCTTTAAAAGGAACAAAAAATAATGTATGGCGTCAAAGTTAGCTTGAAGTTAAACTTTTTGCTCTTCTAAATTGTTTTTTTTTTAACTGACTGAGCATTGTCTTGAAGATCAAATTATAAACACCTTTGAGTTCCCATAGACTGTGTGAAGAATAACCGGATATATCCAAAGTAGGTTGTTCGCATCTGATCTGCACTTCGCTGTAATCGTACTGCCAGGACCCAATTGTAATCACACACTCTTGGCTGTCGTATGGGAATGTCGTGACATCAAGCGAGCATGTTGTCTCGAAAGAGACTGGTCTGTACCATCCTACTAACCCCATGTGATCGACTGTTAATGGGATCGATTCTAGGAACTTGTTTGCATCGAAGAGGCCAATATCGTTGTATGGATGAATATCAGGAATCCAAAGCGTCCCTAAAATGTTCATTAGAATTGTATCTGAACGTGGATTCGATCTCCCACAGTCGCATGGTATTGCACTGGCTTAGTTTTGTATTTTAAGAGCTCGTTTTGTGTTTTTGATGCTTGTGCTTGGGAAGGGCCTGTTCGCCGAGGTTAAAATTTTTGAATTAAAAATCAATTTGTAACCAGTTTCTCGATTATACCAAACTTTGATGTTTTTTTTCTGGTATTGGATGGGAGCAATGGTTATGAATCATATCTCCCAGAAGGAATATACAACCTTATTAACTAACTGTAATGTTGTTGCAATCGGATTTTAAGTTTTCGTCAGATTAGCTGGAATTCGCACGGTGAGAAAGTTTGTTTCCAACTTGCTTGTTACTGCATCAATTTAATGATCTGTCAAGGTGTAACATGCACTTGTCCGTGAACAGTAGACATGCACTTGTCAGGTGAACAGTAGACTTGTCCGCTCTATACTGATTGTTCGAACCCCAGTCGGAACTTTTTTTCTTTTTAGCGTATAAAGTGTTTGTTGTATGTTATAACAGCTAAATTGCCGATATTTCGTTTTTAAAAGGAGAAAACAAATAACGATGCGAGTGACTTTGTGCTTGGGGGGCTTCATATTATTCAAATTTCCATCTTCATATTATTTCGTTAAGCTTTGTTATATGTCTAATTTTTTCCGTATTAAACGGGCACCTACTCAAGTACTCTTAGCCTAATTTTTATTCAAGCGAACCCTGTCTTTTAATACGACTTGGATTTTTTACCCTTGCAAGGGTATTGCAAATGGGTACTAGACTTTTTACTCGTAAACAACTTTGTCCACAAGACTCACTTCTGGACTCCTTCATCTCTTCGTCTTCATTGCACATCCTACTTTTCTTGGTTGCAATTTTTAAGCATGGTACGTTTGTTATTTTTAAATATCCGTCCTTTTCAAAATTTAATTTCGATTTTTTTCTGTCCTTTTTTCTGCTCAATAGACTTCGGCCTATTTTATATAGGCTTAGTGGCCTGATTTCGACTAGTTTCAAGGGAAACATATTTTTCATGCTCACCTGGATCGCACAAAATGCTAAAAATCTTAATAGAAATTATTATTCAAGATTTACATGACAACATTTTTCGGCTTTTGTTTTTTCTTTTTTCCGGCTTAATATGTTTCGTCCTATGTTATTTCTGTTTAATGGCCGCATATTGCGCCTTTCGATGGGCGAAAAAAGTTCGTGTGTGCGTGTCTGTGTTTTGAGGACGAGGGGGACTTCATAATTTCTTATTCGTCTTAAAATTTTTTTGTTTTTTCTTTTCCCCTTTTCGGCTTTATAGATTTTGGCATATACAACATCGGCTTAGTCGCCTTATATTGCGTCGTTTTACGAGCTGTATATCTGTTTTGAGGTTGAGGGGTACTTACTAACATTTTTTAAGTCTTGTTTTTTTGTTGGCTTTTTTATTTTTTTTTGGCTTGATAAGTTTCGGCCAGTTTCATATAGGCATAGTGGTCGCATATTGTTTCATTTGCCGCGTAAAGAAAGTTTGTTTGTGCGTGTGTGTGTGTGCCTGTGTATGTGGAGTGGGTTTGAGGGTGTGGGGGACATGATAATATTTTGAAAAAATTTTGGTGTAAAGGGTTTCTGCCAAGGTATTTCCGGCTTTGTTACCGCTTAATAACTTTTCTTTCGATTCTAGTTTTACATTCTTTTGTCTTGGCTTGTTTTTGTTTCGAAACTAGCCTTATCGATAGATCTGTTTTTTTTTGTCTCGAAAACGGCTTTTTGTATAGCAAGGCCAGATGCTTAAGCAAGCGACTGATTTCTTGAGGTCTGTTGGGGAATCCCATAATTTTGTATGTGATTTTGAACGTAGCGAAGACACTTATATAGATAGTGATGATTTTTTTCGTATTTGTTGCTTGAAGGAGGGTGAATTGCGCTTTTCTATTACGAAAGCGGAAATGAAATGACGTAAAAAGGGCAACGACTTCAAGTTTCAAAAGTGTTAATAAATTTGAGATTTCTCAGCGGAATAAAAAATAATTTATTGATACATTCGTATCAAATTGGGTAAGTGTCAACCATAAATTGTTCTTGAAATGCAAAGAGTATTGAAGTCTTTGCATTTCAAGGACAAGCTCTTTTCACCATTTTCTTGCTTGTTTGTTTGCTAAGTGCAGCTTCACTGCCGTGTTTTTTGCCTGTGTTCAAATATAAAAACAATAATTTTTTAGTCTCTCTTTAAAGCGAAAACTTCGAGCCCATTTTTCGCGAAATTGTACAGAAACGTCTTAGAAGTTTTTCAACTGCTGCGAGAGTTACGACTAAAACCGCTGCAACTGATGCATGATTCGTTATCGCGTGACTTGATTTTTGCAAACAAACTGAATACTGCGATTTATCCACTGCATGGTCAAAACATTATGACCTGACATACGTACCTCTTCTGTTAGCGCCTGTCGCGCCAAAAATTGAGTAGACAATATCGTTAATTTGACAAATGTGAGTGATGGGATAACTTTATGAACAGCCACACAGCGACTGTCATCTACTCGTTTGTATTTAGCTTTTTGCCTGAAACAAGCTAGTCTTAGACCTATTTGGATCTAATTGCATCTTACCCTGCATGAAGCGTAGGTTAGTGATGTCATCATTGTCTTCCGGTTCCCAACTGAGCATCTCGTCAACCCAGTAGAGTCGCTGCCACATGAGAAGAGTGACAGTCTCCATCTTGCTGTTGAAACTCACAAGCTGGTACAGGGCAGCCCCGAAGGTCAAGGTCACCGTGTCCGAGACATTGCGAACCGGACGTACACGTCTAGAACAGAGTGATTCCCAGTTTAAATTGATTCAGTACATTTGATTCTTCAATTTGCAGAGCGCATAGTTTTTCAGAACAAATTTGTGGCAATTTGAGAAATAGATTTTAGATATTTTATCCTGTTTCCGAAGATTGAATTTTCCGGACAATTTATTTCTAAAATGCGCCTAATCACCTAGGATTTAATTGTGCTTTGTCCTTGATGCTCAATAGAGTCTAATCGTGGGTTTAATTAGGAATCACATACCTGTCGTAGTGTTCCATAAGAGACTCGTGCAGATGGTTTTCCGTTTGATATGAAAAGTTCGAATCCGTTGCAACTTTATTGAACTGGGAAACCAGAATTAATATGAAAGCACAACAAAAGGATCCCGCGATCATATTTTTTGAGAGGACAGATTAAGGTACTAAGATTATTGAGTAAGTATCATAATAAGTAGTGTGACCAGGAAGTTAGTTCAGCTTTAATTAGCTCCGATTCCGCTATTTAATGCAGAAAATCTTCTGTAGAGCTGCTTAACCCGTTGATGCTGTTAACGATCGAAATTCAATTTGAAGCATGCAGAAAAAAGCAGTGCTTTTAAAATGGACGAATGAGACTTCGAATTATAAGGGAAACTACCAATCAAGTGGTCCCATATAAAGGATGGACGAACAAATGCTTTTAAATGTGCTATGCACCTTGTCGGGGGCTCTGTTGTTGTGAACAAGATAAAATGCTTTTATTGTAATGAAATTTGAACCAATCAAGTAGCCTCAAAAGCGATTGACAGTGAATTTTTGACTTGTCTGTTTTGACTTAATTCGCTAGCTTTAATCAGGACAGGTGATCAAAAAGCCGATTAAGTTGCCTTTTGTTGAAGTCTCTGCCGCCTACTTATTCTGACAAAAATGATTCATTGGAATATTTAAATCACGCTCCGCCCAGCCTAAGGCAAAACTTTAAAACTTGCGTTTTTTAGTGTCTTTACAGTTGTATGGTTTCAAAAGTTCTTATTAGTTAAAAGTTTTCAACCATGTTTTATTTGCATCAGGAGAGCGGGTTGACTGAGCGAACAAAGAAAACTTTTTTCATCGCCAAAGAAGGCAAAATATGGAACCTCTTTTTGTAAACAATTGCCGAGAAGTTAAAGTAACTAAATTAATGCGAGCTTATCAATGAGCTTTTGAGTAATCATCATCGGGTTACGCGAAGTCTCTCAGCGCCCTGTTACGCTTCCCGAATTTTTTTCATAATTTATATAACGCCGGGGCAGTACAACAGTGCCGAAGTACAACAGTGCCGAAGTAAAACAGTGCCGGAAAAAAATTAGTTCAACAGTGCCGAAAATGAAAAACTAGTTCAACAGTGCCGAAAATTTTTTTTTGTTCAACAGGGCCGAAAAATTAAAAAACACTTCGGAAAGCTTGAATTATCGTTTATAACAGATAATACACAAAGTTTTCCAATAGTTTTCAATGTTTCGATTTCTCGATGCATATGATCGCTTCAATGCCGCTATTTGCTCCCTTTTTCTTCTGTCTTTTTTCTTAGCTTTCCGTGGAATATCTCCATTCTGAAATGATTTCAAGGCCAGTTTCGACATTTTTTCTTTCCGTTTCAGTTTTCGGATTAAAACCCAAAAATTTGGATGAAATCGCCCATTTTTTTGTTCCAGATATTCAGCCAATTTTCACAACTGTTTGTGGTGGTGAGTGAAGCTGGTCTTTCAAACAAGTTCCACATTTTTAGTGGATATTGTCCATTGAGCCAAGTTTTTTCGAAATACTCAAAAAAATTTGAAATTCCGTTGTAAATTCCGATCAAAATAAGATTTTTCCGATCGTACTTGATTCGCGTGTAGTTTGTTCTGACCAATCCGATAGGCAAATAAGGCAATGTAAACAATCGTCGAATTATTTTGCGAATTTTTTGGTTTTCAAATAAACCAAAAACCGTTTAAATCTGAGTAAATGGATCTGGCGCTGTTTTGAAAGTTCCATCGGCTAAAACTGTATCGCAATTCGCTAGATTTTCAAAAAAAATCTGGTTGCCATGACAACTGCCCCAAAATCTACGCTTTTTTTCGAGAAGAAACTTTTTTCCGGATAAGGTTTTGCCCCATGAATTGGAAAAAATTATATCTGACACTGTTTGCGGTATCCCAGGTAGCTGTTTTCGGCGATGAAACTACAAAGAATTTCGAATATTCCGGAAATTTGGTACGAGATTTTCGTCATTTTCGTCACCACATCTTCATAAATTTCGGACATAATTTCTGGGGGCTCATTTTCGACAGCTGACAAAATTTTTTGGCAAATTTCCGCAGATTTTATGTAATCATCGACCGCGGGATGGTTGTGAATAGCTGGACAATTAGTAATTTTGCTCAAATTAATATCAAGGGCGGTTGTTGCCTGACATTTTTTCTCTACACAAATGTAAAAAATTTTAGTTTTTGTTGTTTTGTTTTTTCTATAACGATAGCCAGCAATTTCTAAATTTTGCGAACCAGCCCTTTTTGAAGGAAAAAATTTGAACATTTTATGTGCGGAAAAAAGAAATTACAGCGATCAATTTACGTGCGGCAATAAGAAATTAAAGCGATCAATTTACGTGCGGCAATAAGAAATTAAAGCGATCATTTTACGAGCGGCAATAAGAAAGAATTTGAAGCGATCAATTTACGTGAGGCAAAAAGAAAGAATTTGAAGCGATCAATTTGCGTGCGGCAATAAGAAAAAATTTGAAGCGATCAATTTATAATTAGTAGCAAAAAGTTCGGACAGACAGAATTAAATAAAATGAGCAATCAGTGCTTTTCGATGCTTTTTTACATGCAAAATCTGAAGCCGAACAACCTTGAATTTTTTGTCAGACCAAATTCAAATTGCGAGATTGTCAATTATCCGATGATTATGCTAGCCTAATTTTTAAATACTGCTATGAGCATCCAGATTTTACTATAAAACATTTCGACGCTTCGGATGCAATTGCCCGCCGTGGTTATAGGTTTTGAGCGGAACTCGGATCTACTTAACAATCCCCCTATTGTATCTACTGAAGAATCTCCACCCCTGTAAGTAAAAACAGTAATTTCGCACAAGAGCATTGTATGTAAATTCGGACTTTGCTGCATTCTGATTGGTCGACAGTTTGCTGCAAGTAACCTTAGTAACGATCTCCTCCCCTTTCTTGAAAGGTAGATTGTTAAGTAGATCCCGTAACTCTGCTTTATGAACTTTCCACAATTTGTTTATTTCAGTTTTAGTTTCCGTTGATGTCTAGACACTTGCTCTTTTTAATTAATTCTGTCTGTCCGAACTTTTTGCAACTCTCTATACGTGCGGCAATCAGAAAGAATTTGAAGCTAACAATTACAATCTCAAGTGAAAGCACTTTAAAATTTTGAGCGAGAAAATTTGCCACTTAAGACATTTTGGCGCCAAAATTGGAGTGATTTGCTTTGTTAATTACCGTCAGTAATTTGCCGCTCTTTAGAAAATGCGTTTAAATTATTCTGAAATTTTTCCGCCTTTTTCGGGACTGTAGTACTTCGGGAGTGCGGCCAGTATTTAGACAGCCGCGTATTCATACTGGTCAGTATTTAGACAAATACTGTTTCAACCAATCAGAATCGAGAAAAAACATAAATAATCCAAAATAAATAATAATTATTTATTAATTTCTTCTTTGTCTCGATTCTGATTGGTTGAAACAGTATTTGTCTAAATACTGACCAGTATGAATACGCGGCTGTCTAAATACTGACATGTAACCAGTACTTCGGCACTGTTGAACGCACCCATAACGCCCATAGGAGACTTCCAAAAATCTTTAAATTTGGAGTATCAGCTATACGCGGATGACACATTGTTGTATATAAGCTTTGATAAATTGTCGTCCTCCGAACATATTACAGAATGAATTCAAAATACAGTCTCTAAAGTTGTCGGCGCTTTTAGCGAATTGAAGCTCAAAATCAACCTGACAAGACGGAAGTTCTCATGGCAAAATCTAAGGGAAATAGCTTTGAGCTTATAACTCCAATGCTGAATGGAAGGGAAGTGAAATTTATAGATGAACTCAAATCACTAGGTGTGAAAATTTCTCTTATCTATCTTTTTCATCACAAATTAATTCAATATGCAGTGCCTGTTACTTCCAATCAAGACAACTTTACAACTAATTTGAAATGAACGTTAACCTCGAAAGCCGAACACTCTTGATAAAAATTTTATTCTTGAGCCGCCTTGACTATTGCAGTTTCATCTTGAATGGCATCACTATATTAAATGCAGTCAAATTAATGCGTGTTCAAAATGCAGCATATAGATTCATCTTTAGTAAATCCAAATTTGAATCATGTCGAAAGTATTTGTACAGTCTGCTAGTATTTGTACATAAAAAATTAATTACGGCTTACCAGTTCCGGGCAATTTGAAGAGTCTTATAGTCTTCAACAATCAGCAGACATCACGTTAAATTAATTACTGCAAAATAGCTGCCAGGAAATCAAAGCTGCTTTTGGAAACAGCATTTTAAGTGAGCTGACCGCGTCATTGGAATAACCTACCAGTTCAACTACGTGAGATCCGAGATAATCCTTTCTGTAGACAGAGGCTTAAAACTCACATTTTCCGACCTGCATATCACCTACACTTGTTTGCAGATCTGAACAGAATGCAAAACAGACAAGCTCGAAGAATTGAGTCGATTCAATTGAAACAACACAAACGAAATTGTTTTTTTTTTCAAACAAGCAAAGTCTATACCGCAAAATTTTCGAGCTCTGGGATCCAAGAGATGGCCGAACTGCGTATTTGGTTCCTCTCTCATTTATTTGCGAATTACTATCACAATCTCGTGCTTGGGTGGCACTATTGCCACCATACGCACTGAAAACGTCATGCTTTAACTGAAGTTCAGGAATATTTAAAACATTGTAGTTATGGGAGGCACGAACAATCTTTTCGATAAATTGTCAAAACCGTTGATGAGACCTTAGTGGTTTCTGATGAAATATTTTGTTTAATCAGAGCCCTACACTACAATTCATTGGTTTCTATGTTGGAATTATGGACTTTGTTAGTAGAAAAGGAAAATACGCAACGATCAGTAGAGGAAATGATTGCTACAAGGATATCGCCCGAGAGCTAAGAGTGCTACAATTCAGCCATCGGCGGTTCAGGCTCAGGAAACACATGTGAAAATGGACGCCACCCTAACCCGTCTCATATACGAGAGCCGAAAAGGGAGCAAATTTCGAGTTTTTATAATGTAACCAGGTTCAGGTTAGGATTCAGTAAGTGTTTTTACGATTTCAATCAGACTAAATAGCTAGAATGAAACTAGCATCACGAAACATCAGGCCTAGATTAAGGCCCAAGATTTACCAATTCAGGCGCAGATCAAGGTCGAGGATTAAATAAGAATAACACTCCAGCCAGGCCCAGGTTAGGGCCGCAGAAATAAGTTAAAAGCAACCACCCCTGAGTGCGAAAAAAGGTGATAAATCCAAATATTGATGATGATGATAATGATGGGTTGTCGCTCAGCGTGGGGTTACACGAACAGTCGCTCAGCGTCGAGTTAGGTAAACAGCCGAGAATGAAAGACAACAACTCTTCCTTAAGGTTTTTAACCTCGCATGGATACTATCACTTTTTCTATCACTTTACTATCACTTTTTCTATCACTTTTTCCGAAATGATACGTTTTCAGGTTGATCATGTTAATTCAAATGTTCAGGTGATGTTCTCCGATATCATAGATTTGTTTTCAGGTTGATCATGTTTGTTCAAATGTTCAGGTGATGTCTTCCGATATTAGTGCAGTTAGCAGTAGTGATAATATTAATGGTAACTCGGAGTTGGTGGATACGGTGATTAAGACACACAGGAGATGTGCAAGTGATGGCAACTGGTTCGACATAGACCGAGTACTAAACACTCTGAACGAACATGCAGATGTAAACGAGAAAAACACAGCTTCAGCCACAAAAAAACAGCCAAATGTTAGTTGAGTAAAATTTTTGAAAAACAAAGCGTTTGTTTCAAAGAAAAGCACAGCAAAACGTTAATATCATAAAATTAAAAAAAAACAGCAAAAAGTTAGTTTTATGGAAAAAACATCAAAACGGTATTTTCGATGAAATAGTTACGCTTGCGATTAGCAAGCGCTATCAAATCGGAATGTAGACTTGTTTCGGGTTAAAAACTAGGTTAACAAACTCAGTTGAATCACTTGATGATGCTATCACTTATGATGCTGACACGCTCAATTTTATGAAAATTCAATTTTAACTACTGGGTGGGTACTAATTACTAAGTAGTTTCAGGGGGACATGAAACTTTAAAATGTTTTTTTTTTTTGTACAAAATCACTTTGTTTTTGTTTTCGCTCAACTTGGTGTCTGCTTGCTCAAAGATGTCGGCCTTGGTTCAGCTTCGTAAATTTTGTTCAGTTGCTAATTTGAGTTTCAAATGTCTTGCTTGGCATGTTTGCCTAGAATTCCTGTTTGGGATTTGTTTTTTTTAGACGCTTTGTAAAATTTTATCACTTTGCAAAAAAATTAGTTTTGCTTAAAAAATCTTTAACCGATTTTCAAAAAAAATGGGTATCCATAGAAAGACCGCCTACATTTTTGTGTGCCTACATACTCCTCTGGTCTCTTATTGCTTTACTTCTTTGTCTACAGCCTTCAAGGAAGTCTGTGGGGGAATATTTGACGGTTGTGTGATTTTTTCTTCGTTTTCTCAAAGCCTTACCTACCAAATCTGAGATTTTGGTTTCACTGAATAGAACGGTTTTGAAAAGCTCCCCTCCATACCAGCTACGCCCAAAAATTTTATACACATAAAATTATGGCCCTCGGAAAAGTCATTTTTTGATTGTTTTTTACTGTGTTTTGAACCTTTTTTTTCTCGAAAACTAACCTCCCAAATCTGATGTAGGTTCAATGGAGATAACGGGTAGTGGGAAGCTCTCCTCTTGCGGCGGTCAGTCACATTTTTTTGACAAAAAGTTATCGCCCCCGGAAAAGTCACTTTTTGCTTTTTTTTTTCAACTTTTATGAATTATATCAAAAAGACCCACTCATATTAAGAGTCAAGAACTCAGTGAAGACTCTTATATAAGTCTTGGTGTTTTGCCCAGTTTTTTTTCAGGAAAACGGCTTAAAATACTCTAATAGCTACACATGTGCATTCATACATTTTAATGCTTTTATGAATGCACTTAGGTATATATGCACTTTTTGGGTCCAATTGAAATTCATCTAATTTTTCTTTGAAATTCAAAAGTTGAGATTTTTTGAACAAAGTCAGTGTTTTTTTCTTTTTACTTGTATTCATTACTCTTTTCCAACTGTCAGTTGGCTATGTTCTGAGATTTTGGGTTCAATTCAAAAAACGTGTTGTTGGAAGCTCCTTTGAATTTTTTTTTGCCCAATTTTTTTTTTGAAACAAGTTATTTTGGAACTTGAGGATTTTTCTCGAGAAATACCCTGCCAAACCTGGTTGTTTGGGTTCAATAGAAATAACAGGTTGGGTGAATCTCTTCAGCATTAGCTGCTAGGCCCACTTTTTTTAAACGAAAAGCGTTGATTTTCGGACTTTTCTCGATAACTATTCTGCCAAATCTAATATCATAGGTTTAATCGAAACAACAGGTTGTTGGAAGCTTATATTTATAATTTGCTACGCCCATTTGCTAGTGAAAGATTTGAAATTTTCGTGTTTTGGAAATTTTTTGACTACTCGAAAACTACCGTACCAATTCTCAGGTTTATTGTTCAATCCAGAAATCCAATTTTGGCAATCTTCTAGTCTTTACCAGAAACGACCTGCTTTCAGCAGGAAAACGCTCCGGAATTCGGAAAGTCAAGTTTTTTAACTGTGACCGTTTTTCTTTTTAAAAAACTGAGTTTTCTTAAAAACTACCCTATCAAATCTGAGATGAAAATTTAAATCGATAAAAGCCCTTGTGCGAATTTTTCCTGCAGAAGCGGCTTCTCCTAATTTTTTTGTAAGAGAAAGGTTACGTCTTTAGGAAAATTCCAACTTATCAAAAATTTGATCTCTTACTTGTTTTAGTAGAGAAACAGCTAAGGCTTTGGGCACAGTCCAATTGTTGAAATTGCGCATTTCGTCCCGGATTAGTATAGCGAATTCAGAAAAGGTCAAACACGTACCTCCAGCTTTAGCGGGGCGCTAGATGTCCTTCATCGATACATGCGAGCTTTTTGGCTCCTCTAGTTTTTTTTTTCAGTATTTTTCATTTTTCGACTTATGCTTTTTTATTGTGTTGTATCACAAGTGGTGCGAAGCTCTGCTTTGCCCTGTGTAAATTATGTGCAACTAAAAGTGTGAAAGCGTCAGTTTCACGTGGTCTCTTTAAAGTTGGAGAATAAAGTCATATGTCAGAAATTGAAATAAACGATTCAATTACTATTTGCTTTAGCTTAGGATATACGGCCCTCATTTTTTCAGTGGTTCAGCAAACCACTAAGATTCCACCTCGAGCGCTTTTAGATTCACGATTGTTAAAATTATTCGTGAAAATAATAAAAAGATAATGAACTCAATTTTTGTGTTCGTATGGTTTTTTGTTCTTTTTTTAAAAGCCATTATTTATCTAAGCTCTATTTTATAATTCAGGGGTTCTTTACCCTTGCGATAAACAAGGGTATTGCAATCGTATACTAGACTTTTTCCCGTAAATAATTTTGTTCACAGACTGGTAAATTTAGTGGAAATGGTAAACATCAATTCTCACATGCTCAATTCTTTGAAAAATTGAATAAAATTATCATTATTTAAGTAGTAATTAGATGAATCCTGTTTCAGCTTGTATTTATTTTTCAAAAAATTCTTGAATTTTTTTCTTGGGTTTGTGGTTTTTGTCCTCGTTTCTGTCGGTTCTTTTCCGTTTTTTAAACGCCATTTTTTCATCTGGTACGGTTTTTATTGGTTTACTTTCTAAAACATGGTTTTTTCTCAATTTAAACAATTTTTCACTATAGTTGAAAGTTCAATTATTTGTAATTTTACCATTTTGCTTGTGATTTTGGGAAATTTTTTTCGCATTGTTTTAGTTTTTTTTTTAAATATTTGAACAATTTCAGCTTATGTTATATCGGCTTAGTCTCTTATATTTCGTAATTACAAGGGAAAATGTGTTTGAAATACATTTTTTTATGATTTCGACCCAAATTTGTTGCCGTTCGATAAATGATTTTCAATTGTTTTTAATGCGATTTATGGATTTCATCCTATACAACCATGAAGTTTTTGCAGTTGTAGTTTGTCAACTTTTCAATTTTTTTCAGAATTGGGTTTCGGCTTTTATATTTCCCTGCGGCATAAAGTAATTTAGAACCAGTTTTCTCAAATTGAAGTAGCTATTTTGAAGTCAAAAAGAGTCAGTCATTAGAACTCAAGGAGCTTTCAGGTGATGTGTTTAAGGCCCAGGTGAAAGGCCCTTATATGAACTAAGTGAGCTTTTCCCCCTGGGCGGATGATTGCTATTTTGTAATATCATATTGGTTTGTTTGTTTTATTGGCACTTGAATCCCCACCCAATAAAAGGCGAGTTGTTCTCTCGAGACTCGATTATTGTATAAGTTTGTACAATGCTATCTTCAGAAGCGATTTAATAAAACTAGTGTTCAATCAAGTACAGCAAACTTATCTTGATGCTCCCTTGTCATAGTCATTTCAAACCAGGTTTTTGAAACTCTGCATTGGTTACGTATTGAAAGTCGGGTCAAGTTCAAAATTCTGTCCCTGATGTATAAAGATCTTCAGTCCGAGCGCGTCTCAATATCCGAACGTCTTATTCATAAAACGAGTACGCTGAAACGCGAGGATTCAGATTGATTGTGACTCCAATGATTTGATGAGGTGTCTTATTGCGTTTAAAATGCGATCTTTCTCAATCGCTGGTCCCAAGGTACGGAATTCTCTTCCGCTTGCCCCGATAAAATTCGCTTTTTGACTTCCAGAAGAAACTACAAATTCATTGTTCCTTGAAGAAAACCCCTAAACCGTTAGCACTTGTCTTTTGCAGAGTGCAGGTGCTAAAACGCTTTTATTATCACTATTATTGTTGTTAAATTATTATTATCCTTGCAATTAGCAAAAGTGTTGCAACCGGGTGATAGACTTTTTTCGCGTAATAACTTTGTTACCGCCTGTGAAAATGTAAACGCGTTTCATTTTCCTTCAGAACGAACTCATATTCAATCAACCTTTCAGCGCATCTCGCATAGAGGTAACACACCTGCTTGAGAATAACAAGGTTTGTGGTTCGAATCCGGCCGGTACCTGGCTTATTTACCGTAGCCCGACTCTTTTTGAAGACTCAGCTTTTTTCTAAATTTATGAGTGACTTTTTAAAAACATTCTTTAGTTATATTTAAGAATATTTTAAATAAACATTTATGCAAACAAAATTTTTTTCTTGATTCAAAACATTTTTTGTCATTAAAGTGCTTCGAATAATTACGCATGCAATTTTTATGCTCGCGACGAGCGATGACAAGCATTATTAGTTTGAAACCTTTTTCAATTTGTACTTTTTGTAAAGATTTTTTTTTCTCAAATCTGCGTTTTCGGTTAACAAAATACATTTTGATCATTTCTGCATATCAAGTACCCATTCTATTTACAGAATCGAGTGTAATTGTACGAGAACTTTTTTCCTCAACCTAAGTAGCAAAAAATGGCTCCAAGAAATTATTTTTCCAAGTGCGTGCCTGGTAACCTAAGATCTGGGGTTTGAGTCCCGATTGGACCATGTTTTTTTAATATCTATGGAGATTGAATTATCTGAGAAAACTTGAATTGTCATTTATTGTTTGTCTGCTTATTTTTTGCCAGATTATTCTCTAAAGCTTTGATTTTTTCGCCGAATAAATTCAGATTGCCTTCAGAAAAACAATTTTTCGAATGTTCAAAAAATACTGAAAAAAGTCAGTCTATCTTATTTTGGGTTTCATTGACACATTTCCAA